AGGGTCTGCTTTGCCTTCAGCCCAGTCCAAAGTGTACTTCTGTGTCAACACTGTCTTCCCAATGCCAGAAACACCCTTGGTCACCAGCGTCCTAATTTTCTCATCTCTCTCAGGTTTAAAAATCTCCTCACAGCTGACGGTGGTTTCAGAACCACCTGGTACCAAAGATGCTGATTCAATTTGTTGGTCCTCATCTTCATCCTTGACTTCTCTCTCATCAGCTGCCACATAGAGCTGAGTGTAGATTTGACTTATACTTTTCGGGTTTCCTTTCTTGACATTACCCTCGAAAAATTGCCGACACTTTTTAACCAAGTGGGACTTCAATTTAAACTGGTAAACAGCTGTTTGAGCTTCTGATAAAAGAAATAAAAATAAGAGGTTATTGTGGATAGTAGCTAAATATATGAAATAAATGTAATCCTTTTTTTTAGTTTATGATATATTTATTTAATATTTAAACTACATTAACAGAAAATCTAATAATCTCTTACTATTCAACAAAGATTCAGCAAGCCGCTCCTCATTCCTTCTCCTCAAGAAGTTGATTGTAATTTTCAGGAATGCATCTCTGTTGATCTTTCCATGCATTTCCTCATCAGCTGTATCCTCTTTATTCTCACTATACCTCCCTGAGCCTTCCGGGCTCAACATGTTCTTAATTTTTCTAAGTTCACTTGTTACAAAATGCATAATGTCGTCCTCAAGCACCTGGAGAAACACAAATTTCATATGAAACCTTTTTTACAGCAAGACATCAAAATTATCTTTTATATTTGGAAAACCAGTCACCACACATCTATCCTGCAGCAATAAATTAAGAATAAAACTACAACTGATACTGCCACCCAAGGGCTTCAGAAGATGAACACTAATAATTAACAAATCTGCTCTTTCCACTGACTTACACAAAAAGAAATTGGAAACGAGGTGTTTGTCCATATAATTAAACTAGTCATCTGCCAGTAACAAAAATGTGAACAAACAGGTTTTAAAAACTTGGGACTTTCCTGATTAGGCAGGTGTTGCAAAACAAGTCTTAAACATTATAAGTATTATCACAAAATGATGTTTGTAGGGAGACGTTTATATAAAACAATCAAAGTTTTAATTTTCGTCTTTGTAGAAAATGTGTTTTAAACTTAATATGAACTTCAATGAAGCTACACCAAAAAGATAAGAGAAATAAAGTTGTACGCTATACCTTGAAAACTGAATCCAGGTGACTTTTATTCTCATGGCCACTAGACCTCCTTGATGGTCTTTTGTTAGAGAGAGGCCGCATCCGACTCAAACTGTGAGACAAAAAGACACAAAGTAAAGCCACATCTGATATTTTTACCACACCTTATATTCAGAGAAATATATATTTCCGTTGTCATGTTATTAGATCTTTATTTTGAAAGGATTTTCACCCTGAATAATAATTGAATTAACAATCTTTAGTAATTCATCGGATCAAAATCACAAACTTGATCACTTCCATTTTACAATTAACAACAAATGTGAGAAATGTAACAATGCTATGTTTTTACAACATTTACAAAAATAATAATCAAAGCTTCGGTAACACTTATAGTTTTCATATCAGAATTTGTGGTGTTGTAAGACTTTATACCTATTAAATTATATTTTTACACCCATCCCTAAAGTAAAATTTTTGTAGTCCACATTTTGTTGGCCTTATTGCTGTACTGCAGTGAACTTTTCATTGCGTTTTTCTTTTCTTATGTTCTATTCATGTACAGCACTTTGAGTTCCTTGTTACTGAAATGTGCAACAAAAAAAATCTGTTTTTCCTAGGCTTCCACTGTCTTCCAGGATTTCTGCTGCTTAAACAAATTAAAGCTTTATGTCAAACAATTTATATTCATAAAACATATAGGAGCTAGAGATGGGTGGATAATTTCTAAAACAGCCATTTGGTTCTATACAATGTATTTATATAGAGTCAATTCACCACACATGTGAATTTGCAAAGCAAAGTGGTTTTTAAAAACAATCGTAAACACAGATTTTAAGTCAAATAAATAAGTCTGTAATTTCATGCAACTAAATGTACCATTCTGTATATTTAAGCAGCCTAAACTGTTGTATTCATAATTCTGTTGTGGTTCATCTAAAGTTTCTTCAGAGGAATCCCAGTCTTGTTTTTGTGCTGTTTGTTTCTGGGTATGTTACTAAGAATACATTGTTTTCAGTAAGGATGAAGGGTTATCATCAAATAAAACCTAACCCAACATAAACATGTAATAATCCTGTTTCTGGTTATGTTTCCCTGTTATTGCTCAATTCACAATGAAAAAATCCTTACTATAACAGGATTAAATAGAGACATACATTTCATGAACAGAGGGGCATTGTTCCTCGATTTCATCTGGTTCATCTTCTGATTGTTCTGTACTCATGGACACAGAGGTTGGTTGAGATGGTTCTAGTCTCTTATCCATTTGGCTTTAACACATATAGAAATACATATATTTTTATTATTATTATTATATATTTATATATCCTCATTAAACAATGACATCTGAAAAAATTGTATAACTTATTGTAGTTGTCTTATAAATCACTGTCTCACATTTTATTTTCAGAGGGTCCTTTATCCTTGAAATCCAATGCTTCATGTTTGGATTCTGTCATGGACAAACATCTTGGTAGATGATATTCTGGCCTTTCCTCGTTTATTTGGCTTGAAGACAAAAATTTGATTAATTTGATTTGATCTCATTTTAAACATATAATACAAATGTTTGAAACCTTTCTAGTAAAGTCTCAAATTTTATTTGCAGCTAAGAAGTGATGTGAAAATTCTGGTCTCTGCTCGTCCATTCTGCTTTAACGTGACATAACAACATTAGACACATAACAAAAGTTTTGTTAACAGACAGGGAGAGTTGTCACTGCTTACATTTTACTTTTGGACGAGACGCTGTTGAATTCAAGTGGTTCACTTTTAGACCGTTCAGACCTTATGGATACACGGCTTGAAGCAGGTGACTCTGGTCTTTCATATTTCATTGGGCTTTAGCGGGAAGGAAGGAAGGAAGGAAGGAAGGAAGGAAGGAAGGAAGGAAGGAAGGAAGGAAGGAAGGAAGGAAGGAAGGAAGGTGTTTATTATTTTCTGGTTGACATAAAAACATTATAGGATAATAAGCAGTTATAATAACATCTGAAAAACTTATATAACTTATTATAGTTATCCTATAAATCACAGTCTTACGTTTTATTTTCAGAGGGTCCTTCATCCTTGAAATCCAATAATTCTTGTTTGGAGTCTGTCATGAACAAACATCTTGGTAGGTGAGATTCTGGGCTTTCCTCATTTATTTGGCTTGAAGGGAAAAAAATTATTTTGATTTGATCCTATTTAAAAAATATAATAATATAATATATAAAAATTTCTAGTAAAGTCTCACGTTTTATCTTCAGCTGAGAAATGATGTGAAGATTCTGGTCTCTGCTGGTCCATTCTGCTTTAAAATAGCATAACAACATTATACACATGCAAAATTTTGTTAGCAGACAGGAAGAGTTATCACAGCTTACATTTTACTTTTGGGCAAGAGGAAGGAAGGAAGGAAGGAAGGAAGGAAGGAAGGAAGGAAGGAAGGAAGGAAGGAAGGAAGGAAGGAGTTTATATTTATTCTTTTCTTGTTGACATAAAAAACTATAGGAACTAAACTATTGGATTTTTTAAATAGCAGTTAGCTATTTAAAAAAACAAAACAACAACTTATATTTACTTGATACTAATTTCACAATTAAACATTGACAATATCATTTACCAGTCAATTACTTTATTTAGTCATCCAAGAAAATGACTGTCTCCCGTACTTTCAGAGAGTCTTCTAATTCAAATTTAGGTCTTGGTGGGGCTCTGCTGCTTCATTTGGCTTCTAGACAAATTGTACCTCAAACTTAGTTTTAAAATGTTTACTTTTGATTTAATCTCATTTCAAAAATATTATAATAAAAGTGTTTGAAACATTGCAAGTAAAATCTCACATTTTATTGTCATACTGGAAATGATACAAGGATTCTGGTTTCTGCTGGTTCATTTGGCTTTAACAGGTTATGATTTAGCATTATTCACATGTTACAGTTTGATATAAGACAGTAACTTTTACTATGACTTACATTTTACTTTCAGATGAGATGCTTTTAAAATCAACTAGTTGACTTTCAGACAGCTCCGTCCCCATCAACACACAGCTTCAAGCAAGGGACTCCGGTCTTTCCGGTTCAATTAGGCTTCAGAATTAATAAATAAACAGACAGACAGACGGGCAGACAGACAGACAATGTTTTTAAGATCTTGTTTTTTTGTTGACATTATATCAGAGCTGTCTTCTGCTCACTAACTTGAGTAAACAGAGTAGCTTAACATGAAAAAAATATCCTTCCCTATTTTATTGAAGCATTTAGAATAATATATTTGAATAGAGTAAACAGCAAGATGAATAAGGTTTACATAAAACAAACATCCTACCTGACAACGTCTAATCCAAGTAAGAATTATAAAAGAAGATATAAAGCACCATCCTTTCCCAGCAGAGTCAGCGTACATCTGACTTGTTATGTCATTCTGGTTAAACCAGTAAGTCACATGCATCCAATGGTAGAAAACAATGTCAACTCAAGTTGAACACTGCCACTTGTTGTACTGGAGAATAGAGCAAGCAATTTTAATTTATTATTATTCAACATGGTACTTTTTGTAGCATTTTGTTAGTTTTTCCTATCCTCTTGTGATCAAATACAACTTGAATAAACGCTGTTTAAATGTGGTTAATCAGCTCTGCCTTTGAGTATTCATTATCTGTTGTTCTGCTGTGGATTGTCAGCCACATATTAACTTCTACTTAGAAAATTAATCTCTACAAACTTACTTTAATTACTTTTTTTTTTTCAAATCTGTGATTTTACAATAGATTTTCATGTGAAAAGGTTTGCCCACCCCACGTCCCCATGATGGCTGGTATATAAGCAGGACTTGACTCATTAATAGGACATGTATCTGCATATGTTGTACTGTAAGTTTATTATTCGATTATGACATAAATGTGAAACTATCGTTGAGTGTTTTAAAAAAGCAAGTTTACTTAAATGTCTAATAGTAAATGACAGACCAACAACTTAGGAAAAGGTTTTTATTTTTATTTTGAAGTACTAGAGTAGACTGTATATCTATCTATCCGTCTATCTAATATACCATCATATTATTTTTCATGATTGTATTACTGAAATCTCCCATTAAAAAAAATCTATTTTCCATCACATTTAAAATAAGATCATAAATGATTATAGATAAATATATCTGGGGCCTTACATTGTAAATTAATATTACTGCCCCCTACTGGTTTATCATGAATTTTACGTCTTGTCGTTTGATGGTATTTTAAAGCTGAAAAACATCTGTTACCTTTAGTGCTACGATTAAGATCTAATATCAATCTATGTTTTAATAAATTAAGTAGCAAAGATATCGGGTGATTAATATCTCGTAAATCTCGAAGTTACACACAGGCAGCTGACGGATCAGGTGACTGTCACGTGGTTCCTCAGCTGACGCTAACTGACGGTTTCCCAGCTGCAGCGACGGTCTGACGGTCGGCCAGGATGCCTTTCTCCGAGCTCTATTTTAACGTAGATAACGGCTACCTGGAGGGGCTGGTCAGGGGGTTTAAAGCTGGAATACTGTCTCAGGCCGATTATTTAAACCTGGTTCAGTGTGAGACTCTGGAAGGTGAGCTAAAGCAGACTGAAGCTAACTGCTAGCAGCTAAAGCTAGCTATCGTTTTAAATACCAAATAAAGTGGCTTAACTCGGTATATGTATCAGTGTTTTTGTCTGTGCTTGTGTTGATACAGTTATCTTTGTCTTTTAGTTTAGACTTCAAGTTTCGAACATCATTTACTGTCAATGTCTAATGAATCTGATGTTGATTGATGCTAGCATTTCTTAGCTAGTGTTTTTCAATAGATAATATAGGAAATTGTTGCCGAGGCTATAAAATGATGGGCTTTTTTTTTAAGCGAGGCTGCTCTTACAGTTCCTTTTTCACTCTGTTATTATGATTTTTATGGTGTATATTTTATACATATTAGGGCAGCACACACAACTTTACATAAGTATAAGGTCACAAAAGCCAGACAGATAATCCATCGTGTTAAAAGGAAAAAAATCCATCCTTATTGAAAATATGCAAAGGTATTGTCTTTATGAAATAAAAGAAAATTAACTATTAAGGGTAAAAAAAAAAACATACACACTGCTGTACTTTGTTTTAATCAAGTCTGATTGAACTCAGTTCAAATCAACACTAGATATGTGTACCTGATATATATTGTAGGATAAATAAATATAATTGTAAAAAAGGCTGCTTATTGCTATTATTGCAAATTACTGTCTCAGCAACTATTAAATATATTAAAAAAAAAATTCACAGCATTAACTGTGGCATTATCTTGCCATGTTTTGGATTGACCCCAGTGGTAATTTCAGTTGGCTTTCTGCCTGGCTAAACATTCCCATAATCTCTTATGATGATATTATTATTACCTTTTTTTTATTTTACAGATGTTTAACGTTGTTTTTTAGGACATGATTGCAGTTACACTTCTTGGTAGAATGTCTTGCTAAACATTGCTTGCTGGTTTGCTGTATTAAGTGTAAGGTTACCTACACTTTGGCTACCAGGTGGATTATAGGTCACAGTTCGGGTTCTGCCTCTCTATATAGCAGCTTAGTAAATATTCCATACTGTTGTGTTACTTTGTGGTGTTTCTAGTTAAAAAAATATTTCCACAGAGCAGTCATGTTGTGATTAAAAGTAGGTTAACAACAGTGCTGCACTCCATGTTTTGCCTTCTGCTAAAACACTGCTAACTATCAGTGTTTTGCCTAAAGAGCAGTAGTTCTCAAACCTCCTCCTATGTATCACTGCCCAGCAAATTATGGATGTCTGTCTGTTGCAGCTCAAGTTTTTGGAAATTACTGTACGACTTCCTTAGCAGCCTTCAAGGGCTGCAATGCTTGTTAATTGTTGTATAACTCAGGTTTAAGGCAGCAAAGATGAAATCTAAAACGTGCAGGATTTAGAACCACCACTAAAGAGAATCTACTGCACGTCTCATGAGACCCGCTTCCCTTCAGAGCATTTCTGTTAGAATTCCAGTTCACAGTTTGCCATTTAACAGCAGAACATCATTCAGAAACTCTGCAGCATTAAATATGGAATACAAAGTCATGGCTTATGATCAGAAATGTCCACAGTTTGGATCTTAATTTTTTCATCTGTGACGTACATTAGTATTGGTACCTTCCACTGATTTTGGATAGACTCCTCCCTTAGTTAAAATCACTTCGCAAGCCTTTAAAATGTATGAAGTTATTCACACTATCGTATACTTTGTTGAATGCTGTGGTTGGTGCACCAAGTGTTATTTGCTAGGTGTAATGGGTTTAATTTGCTAGGTGTGTTATTTATTAGTTGTAATAAAATAAAAATAAAAATCCAAATTGGGTCATAACCAAATATTCAAGATGTGGTATCTTAACCTTTTTCTCTTTTAATTTTTACTGATTTTCATTCAACAGTGCTTTGTTTACACTTGATTGTTTAAATGTAATATGCCAACTGTTCAGAGTTTTTGCTGCAGACATTACAGTTTTATTTGGTGTATAATTGCCAGCAACCTATAGTATATGCTACCACAACCAATATTTTAGGAATTTAGGATCAATATACGTTTTTCTTCCTCACATGTTTAAAATACCTGATCTAAAAGAAAAATGTAGCTTTACATACAGATTAAGTAGTTGATTTCGCAACTAAAGAAGCTTGAAGAATATTTGAGGTTTATCTGAGGTCAGGTTTTCATTTAGGTTGATAGACAACCTAATAAATATTTGATAAAACTGCATTGTCTGCTACTGAGGGTATTATAATCTGTATTTTGACAATGTTTTTACTCTGCAGACCTAAAGCTCCATCTGCAAAGCACAGACTATGGCAGTTTTCTTGCCAATGAGGCATCTCCACTCACTGTGTCGGTCATCGATGATAAGTTGAAGGAAAAGATGGTGGTGGAGTTTCGCCACATGAGGAACCAGTCATACGAACCTTTGGCTAGCTTTATGGATTTTATCACGTAAGTTGAAATCTGCCACATTGAATCAGTTAAAACAGTATTACTCTAGGTTCAATAAACAGCTAATTGGAATCCTGCGAAGTATTTTAAAATAACAGATTCTGCTAATAAGTAGTAATACCCAACAAGTAACATCAATAACATGGAAATATATGGTTTCTGTTTAGCATAAATTATATTTTTTTTAAAATCACCAAAGATCCTAAACATTTTAAAATCCTAATCTATACATTTTAAGATTTTCTCTGCACTCTAGAAATGTGTTTATGCTAAAATGTAAACGTATTCCTAGGCTGTGAACATCCAAATAAAACCTTTTCTAAAATTCTGGTACTTGCGTTTTGTAGGTACAGCTATATGATTGATAACGTCATCCTGCTGATCACGGGCACCCTGCATCAGAGGGCGATCTCTGAACTCGTCCCAAAATGTCACCCCCTGGGAAGCTTTGAGCAGATGGAGGCAGTCAACATTGCCCAGACCCCTGCTGAGCTCTATAATGCCATCCTGGTGGACACTCCTCTAGGTATGTTGGGACTCACATTAACTCATTAATTAAAGCGAAAACATTTGCTTAGAGTGATTAAAAAAAAACAAAAAACATCAAAATAATAAAAATTATTTGTTTTTGTACAGCTGCATTCTTCCAGGATTGTATATCTGAGCAGGATCTGGACGAGATGAACATTGAAATTATTCGTAACACACTTTACAAGGTAAATCCCTTATTTATACTGAAAATTATTTTGCCTGGAAATATAAAACTATTTACAGGAAATTATTTTTAAATTGTTTCAATATGACAACTGTGTTTTTTTTCACTTTATATTGGTTCCTAAAACTATTTTTTTTATTTTTCAGGCTTACCTGGAGGCTTTCTACAAGTTCTGTTCTAACCTGGGAGGAACCACCGCCGACACTATGTGTCCAATACTGGAGGTCAGTCGGTACCACAAAGATAAAAAGATTATAACTCAGAAAATATGTATGGTTTTGCTACAGATAAAATAAACCCACGGAATATTTTTGAAATATTGGAGCTCAATAGGTCTTGCGTCCTCCTTGTTTATGTTTTGCACAAACCTTTTGGCTCAAGTTTTTTTTGTTTTTGTTGCAGTTTGAGGCTGATAGAAGAGCTTTCATCATCACCATCAACTCATTTGGTACAGAGCTATCGAAGGAAGACCGAGCCAAGCTCTTCCCTCACTGCGGCAAGCTTTATCCAGAAGGTCTTGCACAACTGGCCCGTGCTGATGACTATGAGCAAGTCAAGGCTGTTGCTGATTATTATCCTGTAAGTCAGAAAAAACTTCAGTTTACTAATAAAACCTGTCAAATCTAAAATGATCTTCAGTTTTGGTGCTTTTGCTTTTGAAGCAGGATTGCCTCATCATTCTTTTTCACTTTGCAACAGGCAAGAAATTA